AGTTAAATAAAAACTCAAAATTTGGACGGTCTCCCTTTTTATATTTGCTTATAACATTATGTGCCACTGAAATAACTACATTAATTTTGTGATCATTTGTCCCTATCAATTTTTCTGTTGGACTAAGATCAATATTTTTGTTAAATTTATCTTGACAATATTTTTTCACCAATTCCCAAATCTGTTTAATATGTGGACACTCAACAAAGAAATGCTTGTGTATGTCTCTTAATTTACATTTTTCACATTCATTATCATCTTTCTTTTTCATCTGATACAGTAGTTCATTTGTTGGGTATATTTTATAAATTATCTTATAATAAAGGGACCTAAGTCTTGGCTCTTTCAGACATTGAACTGTTCTAAATAACAATTTCATATCTATGTCACCCTCTTCCCTCCATTTTTCAGGAATATTAGGTAGTTTTGTTTGATTTTTGATTATTATACTTTTATAGCTTTTTAATTTTGCTGTTGCTATAACAATATTATTAGGAGGCTCCTGCAGGGGGGCCTCCTATAGATTTTATAGATATTATTTATTCTTTATTAGGAGGCCCCAACAGGGGGCCTCCTATTAATTTTATAGATATTATTATTTATTATTTATTATTATTATTTATTCTTCTCTGCACTTTTTCTCTTACTTCTAGCTAGATTTCAACTATTTGCTATATGAACCTACTAGGGACCTAGGTTGAACTTACCGGGAAAGGAATTTTTATCTAGGTCAAGGTCAAAGGTCAAAATCTAGGTCAAATCAAAGTTTTTTTTATTAAAGTTTCTCAGATTTCAAAAAACGGCAAAAATCGGTCATTTTTCAACTTGCTTCAAATGAACCAGAATTTTTTTTAAAAATCATCTACAAGATCTCAGGAACTCAAATATGTCCTTTGGTTGACCTTCGGTGACCTTCGAAAGGTAAAAAAAGTTGATTTTTCAAATTGATTTTCTGGATTCAAATTTAGGTATATTTGATCCCAAAGGACCCACTGAGGTCTAAAAAAGTAAAATTTACAAGGTCAAAGGTTAAGGTCATCAAACTAAATCACAAACTGTGTTTTCCAAGTTTCTAAGTTTTGGTGACTACAAATCAATATTTTCATGATATATATTCCTCTATAGGTTCTACACATATTAGCAATTGACTATTTATTAAAATTATGTACCAGTTTTGAGATATTAGAACTCAAAAACTGAAAAAAGGTCAAATTTCGAAACTTTGCAAGACTAAATTTCAACTTGCTCTAAATTGACCAAACTTTTTCTAAAAAGCATCTACAAGATCTCAGGAATCCAAATCTGACCTTACCTTTGACCCTTGACCTTTGGTTGACCTTCAGTGACCTTCGGAAGGTAAAAAAAGTTGATTTTTTAAATCGATTTTCTGGATTCAAATTTAGGTATATTTGATCACAAAAGACCTACTGAGGTCAATTAAAGTAATATTTGCAAGATCAAAGGTCAAGGTCATCAAATTAAATCACCAACTGTGTTTTCGAAGTTTCTAAGTTTTGGTGACTACAAATCAATATTTTTTTCATGAAAGTCAGGATATATATTCCTCTATAGTTTCTACACATATTAGCAATTGACTATTTATTAAAATTGTGTACCAGTTTTGAGATATTAGGACTCAAAAACTGAAAAAAGGTCAAATTTCCAAACTTTTCAAGACTAAATTTCAACTTGCTTCAATTGACCAAACTTTTTTTTAAAAATCATCTACAAGTTGCCTGGTGTTAGTATATGACCCTAGATTTGAGATTTGACCTTTGGCTGACCTTCAAAATGTCAAAAACACCTACAGGGCCTCCGTAAGATTGCTTGCAATCTTAAATCTCTAGTTATTGTTTATTCTTCTCTGCACTTTTTCTCCTACTTCTAACTAGATTTCAACTATCTACTACCTACTAGGGACCTAGGTTGAACTTACCGGGAAAGGAATTTTTATCTAGGTCAAGGTCAAAGGTCAAAATCTAGGTCAAATCAAAGTTTTTCTAAGTTTCTCAGATTTCGTCCTCATACTTCATTATTTCTTGCGATGAATTGAAATGTAACTAGATATAAGCATTCCCTACAAATTACTCCCTATATGTTCGGGGTAATTTTTTACCGTTTTTGGGATAATTGACGTCAAAAAACGGTAAAAATTGGTCCTTTTTCAACTTGCTTCAAATTGACCAATTTTTTAAAAAAAATCATCTACAAGTTCTCAGGAACTCGAATCTGACCTTAGTTTTGACCTTTGACCTTTGGTTGACCTTCAGTGACCTTCGAAAGATCAAGAAAGTTGATTTTTCAAATTGATTTTCTGGATTCAAATTTAGGTATATTTGATCACAAAAGACCCACTGAGGTCTAAAAAAGTAAAATTTGCAAGGTCAAAGGTCAAGGTCATCAAATTAAATCTCAAACTGTGTTTTCTAAGTTTCTAAGTTTTGGTGACTACAAATCAATATTTTTTCATGAAAGTCAGGATATATATTTCTCTATAGGTTCTACACATATTAACAATTGACTATTTATTAAAATTGTGTACCAGTTTTGAGATATTAGAGCTCAAAAACTGAAAAAAGGTCAAATTTCGAAACTTTTCAAGACTAAATTTCAAATTGCTTCAAATTGACCAAATTGTTTTTTAAAACTCATCTACAAGTACTCAGGAACTCAAATCTGACCTTACTTTTGACCTGTGACCTTTGGTTGACCTTCAGTGACCTTCGAAATGTCAAAAGTTGATTTTTTAAATTGATTTCCTGGATTCAAATTTAGGTATATTTTTTTTTATTTATTTTTTTATTTATTTAAATCATATACTATTTGATCCCAAAGGACCCACTGAGGTCTAAAAAAGTAAAATTTGCAAGGTCAAAGGTCAAGGTCATCAAACTAAATCATAAACTGTGTTTTCTAAGTTTCTAGGTTTTGGTAACTACAAATCAATATTGTTTTCATGAAAGTCAGGATATATATTCCTCTATAGGTTCTTCACATATTAGCAATTGACTATTAATGAAAACTGTGTACCAATTTTGAGATATTAGAACTCAAAAACTGAAAAAAGGTCAAATTTCGAAACTTTGCAAGACTAAATTTCAACTTCACGGGTAGTATTTGAAGCCCCGCTATGATTGAAAAGTCGCGAGCAAGTTCCCGCTGAAATCGCGAGCATTGCCCTGTTTATTTGTATCACTTTGGAAAATGAACCAAAAGGATGAAAATACTTATTACCGTTCTTTGATACTCCAGCGAAACTTTGAAAACAGATATATTTGACAAAAAAATGACATGAAAAATGATTATTTTTTACTTGCATGAAGGAAAGGGGCGTCAACATGCACGTTTGCATGATTTACTGTTCATATATTACCTTTATCGTTAAAATAAAGGCGATAAATACGATTTACATACTCCATAATAAATATCGGATCAAGATGGTCTGTATTGATAAGTTACTGGACAATGACACCTGCCATGGGGGTCGAAATACATTATTAGAGGTGTTCCAGTGGCCCTGCTGAAAAAATGAAGAGGCCCCGCTGAAAACATGAGGAGACCCCGCTGAAAACACGAGCAAATTTCACGACTACCCGCTTCGATCACGAGGAAAGCTTCATCATTATTCCATGAATATAGTGAGCTTCTTTATATGAACGTACACGAATGAGCAAGTAATTAACGTATTAATGACAACCACATAACAGATCATTCTATGGCAACATTACAAATATTTCTTCTTCAACTTCAGGCAGTCTAATCCATCTGTCAGCGGCATGATCAAATTTTTATATGTAATTAGACTTTGTACGTTTTGGAGTTAAATGTACATTCTACATAATTAACTATTCCAAGGATTATACTTCTGAAGACACATATATTTCATTGGTTTCTTTGTCCGACCGTTCATTCGTGCGTGCATTCGACCGACCGTTCGTTCGTTCGTGCGTGCGTTCGTCCGACGGTCCGTTCGTTCATGCATGCGTTCATCCGACCGATTGATCGTTCGTGCGTGCATCGCCCAATCATGCGTTCGTGGCAGCATTCGTCTGACCGTCCATTCGTTCGTTCGTTCATGCGTGCATCCGTTCATGCGATTGTCCGTCCGTTTGTGTGCACATGCGTTTGTCTGACCGTCCGTTTGTGCTTGCTTTCGTCTGACTGCCTTTCTTTCGTGGGTTCTTTCGTTTAGCCGTCCGTTCGTCCGTGCGTGCTTTCGTTCAAACGTCCATTCATGCGTGCTTTCGTCTGTTCGTCCTTTTTGCGTTCGTTTGTGTGTTCGTTCGTGTGTGCGTTCATTCGTACGATTGTTTGTAACTACGTTCTTGTGTGCGAGGGTTCGATCTTTTGTAAATTGTTTTCTTCTATCTTTCCTTCATGCGTTCTTTTGGCTGCCTATCCGTTCGTTTGTTCATTCATTTTTTTCGGCTGTTCTTCTGTCCATCCGTGCGTTCTTTCCTCGTTCGTTTGTTCGTTTGCAGGATTTCATCAAAATTTGTCTTTCCACTGCCATATGAAAGAATGTAAATAATCAAGAAAGCAAGCAAGGACGTGAGGAAGTAAACAAGCAACGAAGTAAGTAATTGAGTTAGCAAGCAAGTAAAGAAGGAATGGAGGAAGTAAATCGAAGAAGTGAAGGTGGGAGTTATATAAGTAAGCAGGGAAGGAAAAAAGGAAGGAAGGAGGGAAGGAAAGAAGCAATGAAGGAAGGAAGGAAGCAAGGAAATGAGAAAGCGATGAAGCAAGCAAGGAAGCAACTGAGGAAGAAAGGAAGGAAGGAACCGAGGGAGCAAGGAAGGAACAATGCGAGTAAAGAATTAAGCAGGGAAGCTAGCAAGTAAGGAAGCGAGGAAGAAAGGAAGCCAGAAAGCAAAGAAGGAAGGAAACGAGGAAGCAAGGAAGGAAGGAAGCAAGCAAAGATGCAAGGAAAGAAAGGAAAAAAGCAAGGAAGTAAGTAAGAAAGGAAGGGAGAAGGCGAGAATGCAGGGAAGCAAGGAGGGAAGAAAGCAAGGAAGAAATGAAGCGAGAAAAGAAGGACACAATGAAAGAATGAAGGAAACGAGGAAACAAGGAAGGAGGAAAGGAGGAAGTGAGGAAGGAAGGAAGCAAGGAAGGAAGGAGGGAAGTGAGGAAGGAAGGAAGCGATGAAGCAAGGAAAGAAGGAAGCGACGAAGCAAGGAAGGAGGAAAGATGGAAGCGAGGAAGCAAGAAAGGAATGGAGCGAGAAAGGAAAGACGCGGGGAAAAAACGAAAGAAGCGAGGAAGCAAGGAATGAGGAAAGAAGGAAGCGAGGAAGGATGGAAGCAAGGAAGGAGGGAAGTGAGGAAGGAAGGAAGCGAGAAAGCAACGAAAGAAGGAAGCGAGGAAGCAAGGAAGAAAGCGGGAAAGTAAGGAAGGAAGCGAGGAAGCATGGAAGGAGGGAATGAAGCAAGGAAGGAAGGAAGGAAGTGAGGAAGAAATTTGTGAAGGAAGCGAGGAAGCAAAGAAGGGGGAAAGAAGGGAGCGAGTAAGGAAAAAAGCAAGGAATGAAAGAGGGAAATGAGGAAAGAAGGAAGCGAGGAAGCAAGGAAGGAAGGAAGCGAGGAAAGAAAGAAGCGAGGAAGCAAGGTAGGAAGTGGGGAAGGAAAGATTGCGAGGAAGGAAGGACGCGAGGAAGCAAAGAAGGAAGCAAGGAAACGAGAAAGCGAGGAGGGAAGAAAGCGCGGAAGCAAGGAAGGAAGGAACTGAGGAAGAAAGAAAGGACGGAAGCGAGGGAACAAGGAAGGAATGATGTGAGGGAGCAAGCAAGGAAGGAACTGAGGAAGCAAGGAAGGAAGCAAGGAAGGGAACGAGGAAGGAAGGAAGCCAGAAAGCAAAGAAGGAAGGAAATGATGAATCAAGGAAGGAAGGAAGCAACCAAAGACACAAGAAAGGAAGGAAGGAAAAAAGCAAGGAAGGAAGTAAGTAACGAAAGAAGGAAGAAGGCGAGAAAGCAAGGAAGTAAGGAGGGAAGGAAGCAAGGAAGGAATGAAGGGACAAAAGAACAACGCGAGGAAAGAATGAAGGAAACGAGGAAGCAAGGAAGGAGGAAAGAAGGAAGTGAGGAAGGGAGGAAGCAAGGAAGGAAGGATGCAAGTGAGGAAGGAAGGAATCGAGGAAGCAAGGAAAGAAGAAAAGCGAGGAAGCAAGGAATGAGGAGAGAAGGAAGCGAGGGAGGAAGCAAGGAAGGAATGAAGCAAAAAAGGAAGGACGCAAGGAAAAAATGAAGGAATCGAGGATGCAAGGAAGGAGGAAAAAAGGAAGTGAGGAAGGAAGGAAGGAAGGAAGCGAGGAAGGAAGGAACCAAGGAAGAAAGCAAGCGAGGAAGCATGGAATGAAGCAAGGAAGGAAGGAGGAAAGGAAGTGAGGAAGAAATTTATGAAGAAGGCGAGGAAACAAAGAAGGAGGAAAAAAGGGAGCGAGGAAGGAAAAAAGCATGGAAGGAAAGAGGGTAGAGAGTGAGGAAGGAAGCGGGGAGGCAAGGAAGGAAGGAAGCGAGGAAGCAAGGTAGGAAGGAAGCAAGGAAGGAAAGATGCGAGGAAGGAAGGAAGCAAGAAAAGAAGAGGCGAGGAAGGAAGCAAGGAGGGAAGGAAGGAAGCGATGAAAGAGAGAGGCAAGGAAGCAAGGAAGGAAGGAAGCGAGGAAGGAAGGAAGCGAGGAAGCAAGGTGGGAAGTAAGAGAGGAAGGAAAGATGCGAGGAAGGAAGGAAGCAAAGAAGGGATGCAAGAAAGGAAGGAAGGAAGCAAGGATGGAAGGAAGAAAGCGAGGAAGGAAGGATGCAAGAATGCGAGGAAGCAAGGAAGGGAGGAAGGAAGCGAGGGGGAAAGCAAAGAAGGAAGCAAGAAAGAAAGGTGGGAAGTGAGGAAGGAAGGAAGCTAGGAAGGGAGGAAGCGAAGGAATGAAGTGAGGAAGCAAGGAAGGAATGAAGCAAGGAAGAAAAGAAGGAAGGAAGCGAGGAAGGAAGGAAGCAAGGATGGAAGGAAGCGAGGAAGGAAGGATGTGAGGAAGCGAGGAAGGAAGCCAGGAAGGAAGGAAGCGAAGAAGCAAGGAAGGGAGGAAGTGAGCAAGCAAGTAAGCAAAGGAGATTGATAAAGAAATAATATTTATAAACATTATTCTGACTAAATCATTTTATGTTGACCTAAACGCACGCTTATTCATGTATCTTACTGAATATCGACTTGTACTCAAAGATGGAACAGAGGGGACAGTTGCAATACAGAGAATACAGAATATTTCCTATGGACTATGTAGTAAGATCACATGATAAAAAACGTTATACAACGATTTGAAGCGCAACATAGGATATATTATGCTCTCGATATGCTGTATTTCTACTTGATTTCATCTCGTGCCAATACAGATTTTTTGAGCACAATATATCCTATATTGCATTTCAAATCATTCAATAACTTATATTACTTCAAATTATGAAAATGAGGTTAAATGTTTAACATTTCGTCCGATTTAATACTCATCACATTTCTCAGATGATCTTTCTTATTCTGTAAAATGGCATGGGAATACAGGCCTGTCAACTTGGGAACACCTAACATGAGTGACTTGGAAATGTTGAACACCTTCCCTCTGAATGTGGACACCTTGGTCCAAATCTGAACACCTTGATCCAAATTTTGGGTAGGTACGAAAAATTTCGAACGTAATGCGTGACATATACGTGATTCGCGTGAAAAGTCCGAACGAAATGCGTACGTTTTTTTTTGGCGTTCGTAATTTTGCTGTGTAGACGAACTTTTTTAGAAATTTTTCTACAGAAATATTTTTGCTTGACAATTACCAGGTAAAATGCGTATTTGCGTGACATTTTCTGTCACGCAAAACTAACTGGCGTGACTTCAAATTCTTCAGCAAATGCGTGACAAATACGCAAATTGCAGGACAGTTGACAGGCCTGGGAATATGATACTGCAGTTTTCCATAACAACGTATCATAATATGAACTATATTAACAGTTGTGTTTGCTGTTATTGAGAATTGTATTGACAAATAATGTAATTATCAAACTGGGTACAATAGTGGATCAAGGTGGGAACGAAAGTGGGAGATTTTCAGGGTATAATCGGGATTCACTCCATTTTTGAGAGACACTTGCTCCTGTTTTCAGCGGGACCTCCTCATGTTTTCAGCGGGGCCTCCTCCTGATTTCAGCGGGATCTTTGCTTAAATTGCTCCTGCTAGAAGCGGGGCCTTGAGGGATATGATAAAATTTAAATATAAAATGTTCTGTAAAGCTTTAGGAAGTGAAACTCGGTACATCTTTATTCCATATCACTATTGTTATTTCAACCACAGGACAACATCGTTCTTTACCAATAACGTATAGAAATATATAGATAAAGATTCAAAATGATACTTTCTCTCTTCAATTGGCAAATAACGAACCACAGAACGACCGTTCGTGATACATTTTTTCCAGCAGTTGCTTTTTTAGTCTCAATACCATGTAATCATTGGGAAAAATTAAAAGAAAACGTTTTGTAAATCATACAATTCAATTGCGACTTTTAATTCATAGCGGGGCTTTAGATACTACCCGTGAACTTGCTTCACATTGACCAAATTTCTTTTTAAAAATCATCTAAAAGTTCTCAGGAACTCAAATTTGACCTTCCTTTTGACCTGTGACTTTTGGTTGACCTTCAGTGACCTCTGAAAGGTCAAAAAAGTTGATTTTTCAAATTGATTTTCTGGTTTCAAATTTAGGTATATTTGATCAAAAAGACCCACTGAGGTCTAAAAATGTAAAATTTGCAAGGTCAAAGGTCAAGGTCATCAAACTAAATCACAAACTGCGTTTTCTAAGTTTCTCAACATTTTTGATTACAAATCAATATTTTTGGATGAAAGTCGGAAAATATATTCCTCTAAAGGTACTACACATATTAGCAATTAAATATTTATTATTAAAATTGTGCACCAGTTTTGAGATATTAGAACTCAAAAATTGAAAAAGGTCAAATTTCGAAACTTTTCAAGACTTTTCATCTTGCTTCAATTACTAACTTAGTAACTTACTTAGTTAGTCAATAACTACTTAGTAACTAGCTGACTTAGAAACTGACTTAATAACGATATGTTGACCATTGATTGACCATATAAGGCCAAAACGCCTACGGGCCTCCATAAGATTGCTTGCAATCTTGATCTCTAGTTATTTATTCTTCTCTGCACTTTTTCTCCTACTTCTAGCTAGGTCTGAGTTAACTCTTATATGCTCCTACTAGGGACCTTGAGTGAAATTGGCGGTAAAGAAATTTTTTATCTAGGTCAAGGTCAAAGGTCAAAATCTAGGTCAAATCAAAGTATTTTTCAAGTTTCTCGAATCCTGACACTACACTTCAATATTTTTGGCTAAGTTTTGCATACAGATAGATATTAGTGTTCTATTAGTGTGAGCCTTTTGCCGTCTGGACAAATTTTGTTTAGATTTTGAGATATTGAAGGTCAAAAAAGGTCTTTTTCAAGTTGCTTCAAATTGGCCAAATTTTTTTTTAAAAAGCATCTACAAGTTCTTAGGATTCTAAATCTGACATTAGTTTTGACCTTTGACCTTTAGTTGACCTTCAATGACCTTCAAAAGGTCAAAAAAGTTGATTTTTCAAATTGATATTCTGGATTCAAAGTTAGGTATATTATATCACAAAAGACCTACTGAGGTCTAAAAAGTAAAATTTGCAAGGTCAAAGGTCAAGGTCATCGAACAAAATCACAAACTGTGTTTTCTAAGTTTCTCAAAATTGGTGACTACAAATCAATATTTTTGAATGAATTTCAGAATATATATTCCTCTGAAGGTTCTACACGTATTAGCAATTGACTGTCTATTAAAATTATGCACCAGTTTTGAGAAATCAGAGCTCAAAAATTGAAAAAAGGTCAAATTTCGAATTTTTTCGAACATGCTTCAAATTGACCAAATTATTTTTTTGAAAATTATCTACTAATTCTCACAAGTTCAAATCTGACCTTAGTTTTGACCTTTGACCTTTGCTTGACCTTCAGTGACCTTCCAAAGGTCAAAAAATTTGATTTTTTAAATTGATTTTCTGGACTAAAATTTAGGTATATTTAATCACAAAAGACCGACTGAGTTCTAAAAAGGTAAAATTTGCAAGGTCAAAGGTCAAGGTCATCCAACTAAATCACAAACTGTGTTATCAAAGTTTCTCAAATTTGGAGACTACAAATCAATACTTTTGGCTAAAAGTCAGAATGTACATTTCTTTAAGGTTCTACACATATTAGCAGTTGATTAACTATTTTTTAAATTTTGCACCAGTTTTGAGATATAAGAGCTAAAAAACTGAAAAAAGGTCAAAATTCAAAAATTTTCAAGGTCAAATTTCAACTTGCTTCAAATTGACTAGCATTGCCAAAGGCGGTATTTTTTACTTATCTGATCTTGAATTATTACCGCCTTGTACAATCCATAACATCTCCACTGTTATTACGCTGAAATATTCAACGGTTTCCAGATTTCAATAATACCTACTCTATCAGGGGTATCGCGAAACCTTATTGATTGACAGATGTCGCGTGGACACGACGTGTGACTTCAGGCTGAATGACCAATCAAAACGTTATCGGGTTGAACTGCATAAACAAAACAGACTTCCCATCTACGATTTGAAATTCAATGATCTGATCGAGTGTTTCTTTAGAGTTAGAATATATTATGTAATTAAATGTACATTGGAAGGTAAGAGTCATTAATATAAATTAAATCATGCGATTCAATGTTGATTTAAAACTGATTTCGCGATAAAAATGCACGAAGACTGTAGCGGATAGCGGGTCATGTTGTCGATCGGTGATTGAATCTCAGCCTACATGTTCAGCGATCGTTTCAACGTTTATTGTTGAAATCTTCTCACCTTTCGTTATCCGATCGATGCTCCGGCATCCACTAAACTCTCATTGATATTTATCTGATAAAATATTTGTATTTTCATGATGAATTCGTGCAAAATTTGTTCGTGAAAAGTCCCTGTGAAAAGTGTACTTGTTTAGCTATTGCTGCAGGGCCGTCGTTGATTGGTCAAATTTTACCGACATAAACATTGAGTCGGTTTAGCACGTGGCTTTCTCATTTGTACAAGGCAGTCATAATAGAAATCAGGATAAGTAAAAGAGACCGACTTGGGCAAGGCTACAAATTGACAAAACTTTTTTTTAAAATCATCTATTAGTTGCCTGGTGTTAATATATGACCTTAGATTTGACCTTTGACTGACCTTCAAATTGTCAAAAACCCCTACAGGGCCTCCGTAAGATTGCTTGCAATCTTAAACCTCTAGTTATTCTTTATTTTTCTCTGCACTTTTTCTCCTATTTGTAACTAGATTCCAACTATCTTCTATATGAAACTACTAGGGACCTAGGTTGAACTTACCGGGAAAGGAATTTTTATCTAGGTCAAGGTCAAAGGTCAAAATCTAGGTCAAATCTAAGTAGTTTTTTTCAAGTTTCTCGATTCCTGACACTACACTTCAGTATTTTTAGCTGAATTTTTGCATACAGATAGATATTATTAGTATTCTATTAGTGTTAGCCGTTTGCCGTCTTGACAAATTTTGTCTAGATTTTGAGATATTGAAGGTCAAAAAAAGGTCAAAAAAGGTCTTTTTTCAAGTTGTTTCAAATTGACCAATTTTTTTTTAAAAAGCATCTACAAGTTCTCAGGATTATAAATCTGACCTTAGTTTTGACCCTTGACTTTTGGTTGATCTTCAATGACCTTCGAAAGGTCAAAAAAATTGATTTTTCAAATTGATTTTTCTGGATTCAAATTTAGGTAAATTTGATCATAAAAGATCCAGTGAGGTCTAAAAAAGTAAAATTTACAAGGTCAAAGGTCAAGGTTATCAAACTAAATCACAAACTGTGTTTTCTAAGTTTCTAAGTTTTGGTGACTACAAATTGATATTTTTGGATGATAGATTGGATATATATTCCTCTAAAGCTTCTACACATATTAGCAATTGACTACCTATTAAAATTGTGCTCCAGTTTTGAGATATTAGAACTCAAAAACTGAAAAAAGGTCAAATTTCAAAATTTTCAAGGTCAAGTTTCAACTTGATCTAAATTGACCAAACTCTTTTTTAAAACTCATCTACGAGTTCTCAGGATTCCAAATCCGACCTTACTTTTGACCTTTGACCTTTGGTTGACCTTCAGTGACCTCCGAAAGGTAAAAAAAATTCGATTTTTCAAATCGATTTTCTGGATTTAAATTTAGGTATATTTAGTCACAAAAGACATACCAGGGTCTAAAAAAGTAAAATTTGCAAGGTCAAAGGTCAAACTGTGTTTTTTAAGTTTCTCAGAATTGGTGACTACAAATCAATATTTTTTTTATGAAAGTCAGGATATATATTCCTCTAAAGGTTTTACATATATTAGCTATTGATTATCTATTATTAAAATTTTGCACCAGATTTGAGATATTAGAACTCAAAAACTGAAAAAAGTCAAATTTCGAAATTTTTTAAGGTCAGATTTTAACTTGCTCTTAATTGACCAAACTTTTTTTAAAAACCATCTACAAGTTATCAGGAGTTCAAATCTGACTTTAGTTTTGACCTTTGGTTGACCTTGGAAGAAACCAGGTAACCAACTTCATAACTTACTTAGTAATTTACTTAGTTACTAACTTAGTAACTTACTTAGTTAGTCAATATCTACTTAGTAACTAGCTGACTTAGAAACTGACTTAATAACCATGTGTTGACCATTGGTTGACCATATAAGGCCAAAATGCCTATGGGCCTCCGTAAGATTGCTTGCAATCTTGATCTCTAGTTATACATATTTTCATTGCTTTTGTGAACAATGGTTTTATTATACAATAAAGATTTTAACAAATTATATTGCATTCTTAACTCTGGTCTTGGGCCTATGACATTTAAATTTCCTCAAACTCCTTTATTTTATCATTTTCATCAATAATATGTCTAAGTTTCTTTATACCCCTTTTAACCCATTTTTCAAAATATATAACCTTTCTACCATACCTCAAACTGTTGTTATTCCATAATATATCATCATTGTTTAATTCATTATGTAAATCTTTATTGCCTAACCATTGTTTAACAAGTTCAACATAAAATGATGGCATTTCATCCTGTTTTAATTTTGGTTTCAACTCTGCATATTTTTTATATTGTAATCAAATATATCTACATGTCCCATTCTTTTTATAAAGTAAAGGAACATATGCTTCTAGCTTGACTCATAATTTTTTACATTTTTTATCCGTGATACCCACACCAATAGTGCAGCACTTTGCACAGAAAAAATGTCAACCATATTTAACCCACCATTTTCAATGCTTTGTCTTAGTATTTTTCTTTTGATCCGTTTACCTCCATGATAATGCTGCTTCAGATTGAAGATGAACTTGTATAAAGCATTATTAATCTCTTTCAAGACCGAGTCAGGTGCCTTAAAAACCATTTAATAAATTTGTTAATTGAGATGCTACTAAGCTTTTCACTAAATTAATTCTGCCAACAATGGATAAAGTTCTGTGTGACAATTGATTAATTATCTTGTTCATTTTAGTGATTTTTTTCCAGTTTTCTTGAATAGAAGCTGCCGATCCCCTGTTTCTAAAATGTACCCCTAAAATTTTCAATTTTGCATTTTTACCTAATTGCCATTTTTATCCTGCAGGTGATTCAAGAGAGTTTTTATTTCTTCCTATCCACATTGCCTCTGATTTTTGCATATTCAGCCTTAATCCAGAGACTTTATAGAAATCATCAATTACTTTTAAGAGTTCAATTAAAGAGTCTTTTTTGACAAATACTGTTGTATCGTCAGCATATATTGTTAACTTAATTTCTTTATCATTTGGCAATTTTAACCCTTCAACGTTTTGATTTTGGCTTACTTTACAAGCAAACATTTCAGTAGCAATGATGAATATTATAGCACTCAATGGACACCCTTGTCTCAGTCAAGCCTCTAACCTAAACCATTCTGTGAAATACCCATTATTTGAACAGCAGCTACCTTAAATTGATTGATGATATTATTCAGTATACAGACATAGAAGATCTCCCAGGTGCTATAATTAGTAATTGAAATGTGGTTCAATATGGAATAAAGCAAAAATAAAAAACAAGAACGAATTGAACTGACTGGATTTGAACCCTGATTTAAGGGATGCAAGTGCTAAGAGCTAACCATTACACCGTAGAGCCATGGATGATATGCACAGTCACCACATAAATATAGCTCCACATCCACTGACCCGGTTTCAGATGTGTAACTTAACAGAACATTTTCTTAAACATGTACTTCAGAGCATTCACAGGTTCATTGTTTGCATTTAAACGTGTAACTTAACTTCTCTATTATCACTATTTTCTCAACTCAAAAAGTCATTTCCAGTTTATCATAATAATAAAGATTTACCTGGCAAGTTTCAGCTCAACTTTCAATCCTCAGTCTAAATATGGACTTTCAAGGTTCAACAGCTAACTTTGAATGGACTGATCACGCATAGGTCGAAAATAGAAGTATCAGAAAATGTTTTAAACCATGCAATTGTCTTTAAAGCCTGAAAAAATTGTAACCATTTTATCTGCTCTATTTAGATTAATAGTGATTTAATCACAGGCCTACACCATGTAATTATGGTTTCATGGGGTTTTTCTTGAATATTTTACCTGTGTTTCTAGGCTAATGGAGACCAGGCAGCACTAGTTGAGGGTACTGTTAGTGAGGAGCTTGTACACACATCAGCCAGGTACAGAAGATCCACCAGCAGTGATGGAGATTTGCTGCATAAAATGGCAACTCTCAAAGGTGTGTGTTTGTTTATCCACTGGTATATAATTATGTCACCACCAACCAAAAAGTGGTGACATATAGTTGTGGTCTCCATTTTTTGTGACGGTGGTTGGTGGTTGATGATTGGAGGTTGGCATCTGTAACAAATTCTTACAACTTCCAATAACTTGACAACTTCTGTTTAGACTGACTTCAGTTTTTATCAAAATCATCTACATGTTGTCAGAAATAATTCAAATCTGACTTTAGATTTAAGATTTGACCTCCAATGACCTCAAGGTCAAAAAAGGTCAAAAAGGTATTTTTCCAATCATCTACAAGATCTTACAAGTTCAAAGCTGACTTTAAATTTGAGATTTAACCTCCAAAAGGTCTTTTTTTCAACTTGCTCCATTTTTTTCAAAATCATCTACAAGTTCTCAACAGTTCAAATCTGACCAAAGATTTGACATTCAATGTCCTGCTCAAGTTCAAAAAGGATTTAACATTCGATGACCGTCTCAAGGTAAAAAAATGTCTTTTTATGCCCCCACCACATAGTGGGGGGCCATATTGTCGACCTAGGTGCATCCGTCTGTCAGAAACACTGTCAGCATATATCAAAAAGACAATTGCTAAAAATGAATGGATACAGATAAAATACAAAAAGCCAAAAAATCAAATATTAAAGATATGGTCAGAGTTCTAAGACTAATAAGGAAATGAGAAAAACAACAAGAACGAACAGAATCTAGATATCAGTCTCTGAAATGAGGGTAAACTATAGAAGAAAAACAGCAACAAAAACAAACATTGATAAAGACAAAGGGGAAGGGGAGTGTTACCGGTGGAAAAAGCTTTAACCCACGGACTTGTAGTCACAAGTCTGCAGACCCGACACCAAACAAGACCAAAGAAGAAAAGTAATAGGGAGACAGAAGACCAAAGAAAGAAGAAACTAAAGAAAACGAGAAAGTAACAACAACAGAAAAAAGAAGAAGAAACTAAGAAGACAAAGAGTGAAAGGAAAAGACAAATAAAATTAGAATAAGAAGGAATCAACAGCAACAACAAATAGATTTTCAAGCTGGACTGAATGATGATGACATGAACAACATATAAACAAGACGTCCGTCTGTCTGTCCGTACATCCAGCAGTTTTCTCCAAAACCGCTACAGATATCACCTTCAAAGTTTCAGGGATAACTTATGAGTGCATATAGATGTACACTCGATACCTACTCCCTGTCTGTCATTTTGAAGTCAAATGCTAAAATCCTTGTTTGCAAACTTTAAGAAAAACGGCTTCACAGTTGCTTTTTATGTCCCCACCACATAGTGTGGGGCCATATTGCCGGCCTTGGCACGTCCGTCTGTCCGTCCGTCCGTCCGTCCGTCCGTCCGTCCGTCCGTCCGTCCGTCCGTCCGTCCGTCCGTCCGTCCATCTGTTCTCCAAAACCGCTACAGATATCACATTCAAATTTTCAGGGATAACTTATGAGTGCATACAGATGTGGATGAAAATTTTTAAATCGAAACGTACTTCCTGTCAGCCATTTTGAAGTCAAATGGTAAAATCCTTGTCTGCAAACTTTAAGAAAAACGGCTTCACAGTTGCTTTTAAAACTTTAACATCTTGTTCAGCTCACTTCATTCTAGATCTGATTAGGTTTTGAACCTGTTAGCTCAGTCATGGCAGCCATTTTGAATGTCTTAAGAAAAGTTAGCGTGCGATAATACTTTGTATCATATTGAATGGTGTTTTTGAGTTTTCATACTTTAACTATTTAGTAGCTTTATAAATAATTTCAGATGTACTTTCTTGTAAAAGCCTATGTTATTGTTAACAGTAGTTAAATGTGATAATTTTGTAAAAAAAAATCAGCAAAAAGTCATATTCACTTTTTTATTGTCGGCCATTTTGGATTTTTCCGTCCTAAAATCTTGCCTGTAAAGTCTTGTCTACGCGTTTTTCAGGTGAACCATTTGGTAGATCAATTTCAAATTTTCAGGGATGATTCTTAGTGTGAAAATCTACATCTGATCATTTTTTGGCATTCTGTGTAAATGTCAAGGCAGCCATTTTGGATTTTCTGTCCTAAAATCTTGTCTGTAAAGTCTTGTCTACGCCTTTTCAGGTGAACCATTTGGTACCATTTTTTCAGGGATGATTCTTAGTATGAAAATCTAGAAACAGATTAGTTTTTTGACATTCTGGGTAAATGTCAAGGCAGCCATTTTGGATTTTCCATCATAAAATCTTGTCTGTAAAGTCTTGTTTACATGTTTTCTGGTTAACTGTGTGACGGATCAATTTAAAATTTTCGGGGATGGTTCTTAGTTTGAAAATCTAGAACTGACTTAATTTTTGGCATTCTGGGTAATTTTTAAGGTGGCCATTTTGGATTTTCTGTCCTCAAATTGTGTTGGTAAAGTCTTGTCTACTCATTTTCTGGATAACCATTTGATGGGATCACCCATGGGTCATTTTGTACACATTTGTGTTCTTGTTTTATTTTCTGTCACCATGTGGGCCCAGTACCCACGGTACTAATTTTTAAACTTTAAAATCTTGTTCAGCTCACTTCATTCTACATCTGATTAGGTTTTGGACATGTTAGCTCAGTCATGTCAGCCATTTTGAATGTCTTAAGAAAAGTGATAATACTTTGTTATGTCCCCACCACATAGTGTGAGGCCATATTGTCGGCCTAGGCGCGTCCGTCCGTCTGTCTGTTTGTCTGTCTGTCCGTCCGTACGTCCGGCAGTTTTCTCAGAAACCGCTACAGATATTTCCTTCAAATTTTCAGGGATAACTTGTAAGTGCTTCACAGTTGCTTTTAAAACTTTAATATCTTGTTCAGCTTACTTCATTCTACGTCTGATTAGGTTTTGGACCTGTTAGCTCAGTCCTGTCAGCCATTTTGAATGTCTTAAGAAAAGTTAATGTGCGATAATACTTTGTATCATATTGAATGGTGTTTTTGAGTTTTCATACTTTAACTATTTAGTAGCTCTATAAATAATTTGAGGTGTACTTTATTGTAAAAGCCTATGTTATTGTTATTGGTTATATGTGACAATTTTGTAAAAGGAAATCAGCAAAAACTCATAATCACTTTTTTATTGTCGGCCATTTTAGATTTTTCCGTCCTAAAGTCTTGTCTGTAAAGTCTTGTCTATGCTTTTTCAGGTGAATCGTGTAATAGATCAATTTCAAATTTTCAGGGATGATTCTTAGTATGAAAATCTAGATGTGACTAGTTTTTGGGCGTTCTGGGTAAATGTCAAGGCAGCCATTTTGGATTTTTCGTCTTATAAATCTTGTCTGTAAAGTCTTGTGTACACATTTCAAGGTGAACCGTTTGGTAGATCAATTTCAAATTTTCAGGGATGATTCTTAGTATGAAAATCTAGATCTGATTAATTTTTTGGCATTCTTGATAAATGTCAAGGCAGCCATTTTGGATTTTCCATCTTAAAATCTTGCCTGTAAAGTCTTGTCCACGCGTTTTAACTGTTTGGTAGATCAATTTCAAAATTTTCAGGGATGATTCTTTGTATGAAAATCTAGATGTGATTAGTTTTTTGGCATTCTGGGTAAATGTCAAGGCAGCCATTTTGGATTTTTCATCCTAAAATCTTGTCTGTAAACTTTTGTCTATGCGTTTTCAGGTCAACCGTTTGGTAGATCAATTTCAAATTTTCAGGGATGATTCTTAGTTTGGAATTTTAGATCTGTTTAGTTTTTTGGCATTCTCGGTAAATGTCAAGGCAGCCATTTTGGATTTTCCGTCCTAAAATCTTGTCTGTAAAGTCTTGTCTACGCGTTTTCAGGTGAACCATTTGGTAGATCAATTTCAAATTGTCAGGGATGATTCATGGAAATCTAAAACAGATTAGTTTTTTGGCATTCTGGGTAAATGTCAAGGCAGCCATTTTGGATTTTCCATCCCAAAATCTTGTCTGTAAAGTCTTGTTTACATGTTTTCTGGTTAACTGTGTGACAGATCAATTAAAAATTTTCAGGAGTGGTTCTTAGTATTAAAATCTAGCCTAGATCTGACTAATTTTTTGGCATTCTAGGTAAATTTTAAGGTGGCCATTTTGGATTTTCTGTCCTCAAATTGTTTCTCAGCAAAGTCTTGTCTACTCATTTTCAGGATAACCATTTGACAAGTTCACCCATTGGTGGTGACATTTTGTAAACATTTGTGTTCTTGTTTCAACTTGCTTCAAATTCACAAATTTAGTTATTTAGTTTATTGTGGGTAAATTTTAAGGTGGCCATTTTGGATTTTCTGTCCTCAAATTGTTTCTCAGCAAAGTCTTGTCTACTCATTTTCAGGATAACCATTTGACAGGATCACCCATTGGTGGGGACATTTTGTACACATTTATGTTCTTGTTTCACAACTTGCTTCAAATTGACAAATTTTGTTTCAAAATCATCTTTTATGTTCTCAGAAGTTCAAACCTGACTTTTGAATTGAGATTTCACCTTCAATGACCTTCTCAAGGTCAAAAAATGGTATTTTTGAACTTGCTTCAAATTTACCTTTTTTAGTTCACATGTCGAGCTATTGGAATCTCTCACTTATCCGTCTGTCTGTCCATTTGTCTGTCTGTCAACAATTGGCCCGTTTAAAACCTCTGTCAATAGGATTCCCGTTTTAAGTTATTTTTGTTCAACATCAATATAGAAACCCCCCCCCCCTTGACTCCTGGTTCAAAAGCTTGCCTATTTTCAAAATGGCCGCCATTTTTGTCTTACGAAATTCACTTTTGGACCAATAGTGTCAATAGGATTCCTGTTTTAAGTTATTTTTGTTCAACATCAATACAAAAAACTCCCATATGACTCCTGGTTCAAAAGCTCGCCTATTTTCAAAATGGTCACCATTTTTGTCACGCGAAATTCACTTTTGGCCTTTCTCCTAGCTTTACAAATAATTTCAGAAAAAAAAGTTATATCAGTTTTTTTCAGCCATTTTACTTAACATTGATTTGTCCATCTGTCTCGCGAAATCCACTCT